GATCCGGCCACTGCACTCCAGCCTGGGCAGCAGAGCGAGACTCCGTCTCAAAAAAAAAAAAAAAAAAAAAGAATTCCTGGAGCAGATGAGTGGTTCCCTCGATAAGACGTTATCCCATCCCCCACCTCACCACTCTGGGAGAAGGGGCAACTGCTCACCCTCAAAGGGTTTTGGGTATCATTTGTCTTGGATGGCGACCAAGGGGATCCTGTCGAAGGCTGCAGACACTGACCCTAAAAGAGCACTGTAGTGCTTCATTCAATTCTCTCGATGTGAAGCAGCTGCTGGCACTGTCCCCATCTGACAGATGATTGGAGAAGAGCCCACACCCAGATGCCTGCCTGACCCCAATGCCCAGCTCTCGTCCAACTCACTGTGCTGTTTGCCAACAAGCAGACATTTGCTTTGTTTGTTTTTGTAGGGACAGGGTTTTGCTATGTTGCCCAGGCTCCTCCCGAACTCCTGGGGACTCACGCAATCCTCTTGCTTCAGCCTCCCAGAATGCTGGGATTACAGGTATGAACCACCCTGCTCAACCAAGCAGATACGGGTTTTGGTTCTTTCTAAGAGACAGTCTCACTCTGTCACCCAGGCTGGAGTGCAGTGGCGTGATCTTGGCTCACTGAAATCTCTGTCTCCTGGTTCAAGTGACTCTCCTGCCTCAGCTTCCAAGCAGCTGGGACTACAGGTGCGCGCCACCATGCTCAGTTAATTTTTGTATTTTTAGTAGAGACGGGGTTTTGCCATGTTGGCCAGGCTGGTCTCAAACTGACCTTAAGTGATCCACCTGCCTCGGCCTCCCAAAGTGCTGGGATTACAGGTGTGAGCCACCTGAACCAACCCTGCTCAGGGGTGCTGCACCAAGTCATGGCCAGGACTCCACACTTAATAAGTGAAGATCCCTTGCTTTTCCTTCCCCTTCTCTCCTCCTCCCTAGGCCAAAAGGCCTAAGCACTCAAACCAAGCAGACAAGCAAGGCTGGCTCGGGCTCAGGCAGGTCACAATCTCAGGGCTGCCACAGGGGATAAAAGACTCAAAGCTCCAAAGCGCAGCACGGAGCCTTCTCCGGAAACAGCAGAATAAGTGCCTGTCGGGGATCCCCAAGCAGAGACACTAAGAGAAAGGGAAACGACGCCAGTAAGAAAATACGCGGGGGCTCTCCTTCTCAGATATGCATAATAAATATACGAGAAATTTCATCTGCAGACGGTCCCACGGAGGGATTCCATGCTGAGAAAGCTACCGTGCTTGGGGCGGGGCGGGACTTGCTCTGGCAGAAGAAGAGAAAAAAAGGAGGAAAAAACGGTTGGGAAAAGTAAAACTGGTGATAATGATCCCAACAATTCTAGATAAAGTAACTGCACAGAGACGCAGATGCACAGACACACACACCCACACTTCTGCTCCCACAACCACCTGCGAGGCAGGCAAGGCAGGTGAGGAAACCACGCTCGGAGAAGGGACCGGAGTCAGCTAGGAATCAGCTGAGAAGTGGAGACGCTGGGGCTCAGTCACCCACGCGGGGAAGCTGCCCAGGGTGGCAAGAACCCAGGCCAGGCCCACGCCGCCCCCATAGCTCAGTGGACCCGGACCTCAGGGTACCCTGTCCTGGGAAAGTTGCTTCCTGACCCTGAGGAAACGCCAGCAGTAAAGACCCCACTTGGTAAACATTTTTTGTGGGGACTGCTCTGTGACTTCCGCCAATTTTTCTCCAGGGTCAGCGGCTTGATTTGGAGGAGCTCTATCGCCCCCTGGTGGAGGTTTAGCCACATGCATCTGCAGGGGCCACAGTCACCATTCCGAAAGCAGCAGCTGTGTGTGGGGCAGAGGCATGAAAAGGGAGGGACAGAGGACATTTTAGAGACCAACTTTTTAGAATATTTGTTTGGCATAATAATCTTCTAGAGGAGCTGGCATCACTGGGGGACCTGGGCAACTAGGGTTCCTGCGCTGGCTTGGCTTTAGCAGGCCCCACTCTGGTCCTCTGCAGGGCAGTAAGTACAGGGAACTCACCCAAAGCCCAGGGCCGCCCTTCCCCTGTACCTGGAGCTTCAGGCCCTAAACCTGCTCCCACGGCCGCATGGGCCTCTTTCCTGGATCCTGACTCCCAGGGGTGAATGCCACCGTTGGTGTGTGCACTTCCAAACCCAGGGAGTGGCCAAGGGGCAGCTGTCTGTGGGGGTGTGAATCTGCTCACACATGTGCTGGAGCCCCCTCATGGACAGAAGACCCTCATTTGTAGTCTAGTCCCAGGAACCTCCTCTCCTCTCCTCTTTAGAGGAGACCTGGGCGGTCTTTGAAAAATTTGAATCACACTTATAATAATGTATTTTTAAAAATGTGTTACTTGGGCCAGGCGTGGTGGCTCACGACTGTAACCCCAGCACTTTGGGAGGCTGAGGCGGGCGGATCACCTGAGGTCAGGAGTTTGAGGCCAGCCTGGCCAACATGATGAAACCCCATCTCTACTAAAAACACAAAAATTAGCCAGGCATGGTGGCGGGCGCCTGTAATCCCACCTGCTCGGGAGGTTGAAGCAGGAGAATTGCTTGAACCCAGGAGGCAGAGGTTGCAGTGAGCTGAGATCGCACCACCACATTCCAGCCTGGGTGACAGAGCAAGACTCCAACTCAAAAAATAAAATAAAATAAAATAAAATAAAATAAAATGTGTTACTTGATCCTATCAAGACTTTCAACCCAATTTCTAGATTATAGGAAATAAAGGGGATAAAGAAACAAACCACAAAGAGGCAATGAGACAAACCGGAAGGGGGAACATTTGCATTCCTGGTTGGGGCCTTCAAGAATCAGTGTTATGAAATGAGGGTCTGTTTAGGGTTACAAGAGATTTATCTCTTGGGGCCAGGAGTTCAAGACCAGTCTGGGCAACACAGTGAGACCGTGTGTCGACAACAAATTAAAAAAAAAAAAAAAAGCCGAGTTCGAGACCAGTCTGGGCAACACAGTGAGATCCTCTCAAAAACAAATTAAAAACAAAAAAAAGCCGGGCATGGTGGTGTCCACCTGTAGTCACAGCTACTCGGGAGGCTAAGACAGGAAGACTGCTTGAGCCCAGATGTTTAAATTTATGGTGAGCTATGATCACACCACTGTACTCCAGCCTAAGTGACACAGTGAGACCCTATTTCAAAAAAAAGAAAAAGATTTAAGATAATTTATGTAGTGACTTCCTTCCAATGGGTATAATACATAATACGTAAAGAGGGGAAAGAAAGAGTAATTTTACAGTGGAGAAGCCTGACAAGACTTCAGCCAGGTGATCACGCGCGTGTTGCCCAGGCTGGAGTGCAGTGGCTATTTACAGGTGCAATCATGCAATCGTAGCACACTACAGCCTCAAACTCCTGGGCTCAAGCGATCCTCCTGAGTATCTGGGGCTACAGATGAGCACTGTGCATGGCTTGAAAAAGGGATTTTTGTTTGTTCTCAAAATTTTGTCTGCTTCAAACTATTTCCCACGGCCTAGATCTAAGCTCCGGCAAGCTCTGGTGCCGCTTAACTCTCTAGCCTCTTTTTGTGCCATTCTCCACTTCACTATAACGATCCTGCCGCATTCATCTTCCTTCTGGCTCCTTCCTGTTTTAAGGTCTTTGCCCATGCTGTGTCCCTGCTAAAATGCCTTTCTCATGATGGCCAAAACGGAAGTAACCACCACCTTCTACTGCTGTCTCTCATCACCCCATTTATTTGCTGCTGAGCATCATCTTTTTTGTTTGCTAACCACCTGTCCCCCCTACTAGAATGTAAGCTCCTGAGGGGCAAACACTTTCCCTAACTTGTTCACCATACTCCAGCATTTAGAGCAGTAGTTTACATATACGGTGCATGCCCAGTAAATATCTGCCCAGTGAATAAATCAATAGGCCTTAAGATCATAACTACAAAAGAAGCCGTAAGTTACAGACTGCAAGCCATCTCTGCTTCTCCTGATATGAAAACACTAAATATGAGTTACTTTTGTTTCTAAGACAGATTCTCGTTCTGTCACCCAGGCTGGAGTACAGTGGCCCAATCCCAGCTCACTGCAGCCTCGTCCTCCCAGGCTCAAGCAATCCTCCCACCTCAGCCTCCTGAATAGCTGGGACACCACGCCAGACTAATTTTTTTTTTTTTTTTAGCAGAGATGGGCTTTTGCCAGGCTGGTCTTGAACTCCGGGACTCAAGTGATCTGCCTGCTTCGGCCGCCCAAAGTGCTGACATTAGAGGTGTGAGCCACCTCACCCACCTGAAATTGTTGTTTTTTTTTTTTTTGAGACGGAGTCTCGCTGTTGCCCAGGCTGGGGTGCAGTGGCGCCATCTCGGCTCACAGCAACCTCCGCCTACCGGGTTCAAGTGATTCTCCTGCCTCAGCCTCCCGAGTAGCTGGGATTACAGGCGCCCGCCACGCCCGGCTAATTTTTGTATTTTTAATTAGAGACGGGGTTTCATCATGTTGGCCAGACTGGTCTCGAACTCCTGATCTCAGGTGATCCGCCTGCCTCGGGCTCCCAAAGTGCTGGGATTACAGGCGTGTGCCACCGCGCCTGGCTACAAAACTGCTCTTTTTAAAACATCTTTTTTTGAGACATGGTCTCACTCTGTCGCCCAGGCTGGAGTGCAGTGGCGCAGTCTCAGCTCACTTTGGCCTCTGCCTCCCGGACTCAAGCAATCCTCCTGCTTTGGCCTCCAGAGTAGCTGGGCCTACAGGTGCACACCACTGTGTGCGGCTAATTTTTGCTCCCGCTTAGCTGGGATTACAGGCACTTGCCACCATGCCCAGCTAATTTTTGTACTTTTAGTAGAGACGAGGGTTTGCCATGTTGGCCAGGCTGGTCTCGAACTCCTGACCTCAGGTGATCCCCCCCCCCCTCGCCTCGGCTTCCCAAAGTGCTGGGATTACATGTGTGAGCCACCACGCCAGGCCCCAAGGACTCACTTCTAACTCACTTATCTCACCCCGGCCCATTTAGGCATCTAGCGAACGGGCCCAGCCCTTACCAATAGCAAACTCCACCAGGGTCTCGTTCTCCTCCGACAGCGAATCGAGAAATAAATCCAGGACCTGCAGCTGCCGCAGATACTCGTAGTTGCTGGGGTCATAAGCGAAGTTGGCGAGGTTGGCGAGGACTTGCTCCTTGGCGTCTGCAACGGGAAAGCGGCACTGGAGCCAGGTCCGGGCGGCGGTCACAGCCGACCCTGCCACCTGGTCCCACCGTGGCTCTCACCTTGGCTCTGGGTCTCCTGGAATTCCGTGACCAGCGCCTGCAGGTATCCCAAACGCCCGACGTGGGGGTCCACCTTCGGCTTCTGGGCCATGGCCGGCGTGACGGAGGACCCCCAGGGACGGGCGGGAGGGTGGGAAAGGTGCAGGGGGAAAGCCGAGCGAGACCCTCACCCACCCTCCACCTGTCTGGCGAGGGAAGACGCGGGGACGACAAACGGGCTTCTTTCTTGGGTTCAGACTCTGCAGTAATTTGCAGCTGGAAATGGAATGTGGGGAGATGGGGCGGGGTCTCAGAATCCTGTAGGAGTTGGGTCTGAAAATCGAAATTGGGGCGCGGGAGACAGGGAACCGTCTGCGCGTTGGGGCTGGCGGAGTGGGTACTGGCGCCCAGCCCCCGGCTGCCGGGCTCGGTTCTAGGCTCCCGGCGGAAGCCGCGCTGTCCCCACCCTCCAAGGCGCGGAAGGGGCGGGACGAGGCAGGCGAGGGGCGGGGCCGTCGCCGAACTCCTTGGCGCGCGTGCGCGGCACGCTTTCGGTTTTCTGGACGCGGAAGCTCTTTAGCCTGCACTGCAACCCGCTGCGACACGCTTCGCCGACGGAGGTATGAGCGTGGGTGGGTGCACTGCGAGGAGCAGCCTTGTCTCCCATATCCCATGTCCAACTGCAAATTATTGCAAAATCTGAACGCAAGAAAGAAACCCACTTGCCGCCCCCGCCAAAAGGAAGGCGGGTGAGGGCCTCTCTCGGCTTTCCCGCCCCACCTTTCCCACTCTCCCGCCCGGCCCCCCGGGTCCTCCGCCGCCCCGACGTGGCCCAGAAGCCGAAAGTGAGACACCCATGTCGGGCAGCTGGAATTCCATGAGGAGCAACTCAGGAGCGCAACGGAGTCTGGCAGCACCCATGTTGGGAGGACGTCGAGGCAGAAGCACCTCCAGGATCCCCATGGCTGGCGGGGCGCGGCCCAGCCTCCTTGACCAGGACGCCCCTTTAGAGCGCGGGCGTCAGCTCCTTACCCACCCCCATCAGTCTTTTGACCCTTTTGCAAAAAGCGTAGCGACCCCCACCCGTCCTCTATCCCAGCCCCGAGGTGAGTCCGCCACCTCTGGACAGAAATCAAAGGGGACGGGGTCATGTCCTGGTGCTTTTTGTCAGCCGGGTGGATGGCGCGCGCCCGGGGCAGCACCGGGGAGCCCGAGGAAGAGCCTTGTTTGTGGCGCTTTCGGGGCTTTCTGGATGCTGAAGCCCTTCGGCCGATTCCTTCTCGAGGATTCTCGGGAAGCAGGTGTGTGATGGATTACTACTCGTGGTTACAGGGAACAAAGCACCAGGGAAGGAGGTGGCCTTACTACACTCCCATCGCGTTTGACAACGTAGGGGTAGAGAGGTGGCTTAGGCTGTGAGTGTCCTGAGAGTGCAAAAGTTGTTAATCTAATTGGAGTCACTTGTGTTAAAAAAACAGAACAAAAAAACCCGGACAGAGTCCGAGAAAACCATGACAAGAGGGTTCTCATGCATAAATATCTGATCATGAAAACTACCACAAAGATTCTGCAAAAACCCCAACCTTGCACAAAACATACTTTTGAATGGCCATCTGCCCAGCAACTTTCCTGTCCAACGTTGAACTGGTCACCCTTGTTACTAATTCTTCCACCTAAGGATAATTATCTCAAAACAATTATGTAATCCTATTTTTTCCCTTAAAGCCTTTCTTTCTTTACCTCCCTGAATACCCATATAGTTTACTATGGCATGGATACTACTTTTGCAATGCCCTATGCCCAAATAGATACTATTTTCTTTGAGAGAGCCTCTCGTATTTAGGTTGACAAAGGCAAGGACCATATCTTAAGTCCTGGGTCTGGATGAAGGCAGAGTGGCCTACGCGCTCCAGCCAGCTGCAGCCCCATTGGAAGCAGGCCTCACCTCTGAGGTTTCAGGTCCTTGTGGTCAGCCCCTGCCCTATGCACATCCTCTGACGCAGGAGTTTCGACCTTAGTCTGTGTGCCTAGGCCTGAGGACCCTCACCAAAGCCCTTTGGCTTCTATTGGGAGCCTCCGCAGCCTGGGAAGTGCATGTCACCCCAGGGTGCCCAAGGAGTTTTTCTGCCTCTTGCTGGACAGAGCAGCAGATAGGAGCCCAGAAATAGGGAGAATGGAAGTAAGCTCCATCCTCCCTGCCCGGGAACTGCCCCAGAACCCCTCTAGAGGTTCGCGGGCCGTCAGCTAAGTGGGGATTGCAGAATCAGATGGACCACCCCATCCTCCCTCATTGGTCTTCTCCCTTTTTTTTTTTTTTTTTTTTTTGAGACAGAGTCTCACTCTGTTGCCAGGCTGGAGTGCAGTGGCGATCTCAGCTCACTGCAACCTCTGCCTCCCGGGTTCAAGTGATTCTCCTGCCTCAGCCTCCCGAGTAGCTGGGATTACCGGCACGCACCACTGTGCCCAGCTAATTTTTGTATTTTTAGCAGAGACGGCGTTTCACCATGTTGGCCAGGACGGTCTCAATATCTTGACCTCGTGATCCACCTGCCTCAGCCTCCCAAAGTGCTGGGATTATAGGCATGAGCCACCATGCCCCGCCAGTCTTCTCCCTTCTTAAGGCCTCAGGGAGGGGCCCTCCTTCTTGGGGTAGAATTCTCAGCCCTTGGTAGGTTTTACCTCTGCCCAGTCTCTGGCACACAGTAGATACTCAATAAATATTTAGTGAAGGAATTCTGCCCAGAGATGATTGCTATTCTGCCTAGGAGCAGGTGAGATCAAAGTTTCCTGTGCAGAACACTCATTGATACCTTTTTTTTGGGGGGAAATAGGTCTGTCACCGCAGCTGGTAGTGCAGTGGTGTGATCACAGCTCACTGCAACCGTTGAACTTCCTGGCTCAAGGGGGACCTCCCACCTCTGGCCCTCCTGACGTGCTGGACCACAGGGCCTTTGCCGACCATGTCCAGGCTAATTTTTAAATGGTTTTGTAGAGGATGGAGGTCTCCTTATGTGGCCTAGGGTGGCCTCTCACAGGTGAATTCTTTCCCAATCTTGACCCTTCCAAAGTGTTTGGACTTAAGGATGATTCCCACCACCACCTTGGCTTTTTTTTTTTTCTGTCCCCTTAATTTATTTTTTAGAGACAGGTCTCTGTGTTGGCCCAGGCTGGTTCTTGGAAGTCCTTGGGTCTCAAGAGATCCTTCCTGCTCGTGGCTCCCCAAGTGTTTTTTTTTTTTTTTTTTTTTTTGAGACAGAGTCTCATTCCATCACCCAGGCTGAAGTGCAGTGGCATGATCCCAGCTCACCACAACCCCTGCCTGTCCGGTTCAAGCAATTTTCCTGCCTCAGCCTCCCAAGTAGCTGAGATTACAGGCTCCTGCTACTATGCCTGGCTAATTTTTGTATTTTTAGTAGAGATGGGGTTTTGCCATGTTGGCCAGGCTGGTCTTGAACTCCTGACCTCTAGTGACCCACCCGCTTTGGCCTCACAAAGTGCTGGGATTACAGGCATAAGCCACCATGCCTGGCCTTTTTTTTTTTTTTTTTTTAAAGAGACAGGGTCTTGCTGTGTTGCCCAGGCTGGCCTCAAACTCCCAGGTTCAAGTGATCCTCCCACCTCAACCTCCCGAGTAGCTGGGATTATACATGGGCACTACCATCTCCAGCTGGTATCTTTTTTCTTTAAATGTTTTCAGGAAGTGGGCTCATTACGGGATGCACAGAAAACCTGGTGGATACTAGCATCAAAAGCACCTATCTACCAGCCCCACCTCCCTCCTTTTCCATTCAACTGAGATGGAGGAGACAGGATTTGGCAAAGTACATGCAAGCACTCTCCCTTCAGCGCGCGTGCTATTGATGGCTGCCAAGAGTAAGACTGGGTGGGGAGCCAGAAGGCAGTGGCGTCTTCCGGACGCTCACCAAGTCAGACTCTGCAACTAGAAGAGACTAGCTCATCCAGACAAACCTCCTACATTTTCTTTTTTAAAATTAAATTTTATTATTTCGCTCTAACAAAGTAACCTGCTACCTTTTCAAGGCTCAGAGGTGGTCAACAATTTGCCCAAAGTCACATGGCAGATAGTGGCGGAGTCCAAGGCACTCAGGGAGGGCTATTCCAGCCCAGAGCCCTTTGCTTGGCCTGCAGTACTGCCTTTGGCCATAAGAGGCACTCATGGCTGGTCCTAGAGGAGGCAGGACATCCCCAAAGATGCTTATTGAAGCCAGCGGGACATGGCAGGCAGGAAGACTGGCACCCGTTCATGAAAATAAAATCTCCTGATAAGGTTTTCTTGCCAGAGCCTGGTTGAGCCTGAATCAACAAACATCACCCTGAACCTGAGCACCCCTTGCTGAGCTGGGAGGAAAGGAAGGGTGAGGGGAAACGCACTCCCGTGCTGTTTTTCAGCTTCATTAGTTCACAGAGTTTATGACCTGCTGCAGGGAACATTTCTGTGTATAATGCAAACACATTCTGTTTTCTCATTCCCTCGGTACCCTGCTGGGACAAGAACGGGCTGATGACAGCCAGCCCCTGGGTGGTGACTTCAGGGAAAGGCACCAGTAAACTGTGTGTGGGGGGAGCTCAGACCTCCAGGTCACAGGCACAGGCGAACAGGCAGCAGGGGTGAGTCCGGCCAGGCACTTACCCCAGGGTTGACACCTCTAACACGGCAGGGAGAAGGGGGGCCTCCAGAGGACAGGAATGGGGAGTAAAAGAACTTCTCTTGCAAAAGCAGCCCCATTTTCACAGCAGTCTTCAGGCTGCCTGACAAGCCTTCCTCTCCGTCAGTCAAATGTCTGGCTTCCCCCAGCCAGCACTAATCCTCCCCGCCAAGGAAACAGGGTGGGGAAAGGAAGGAGGAAGCCCCTAGATAGAGCGGGTCCTGCTGAGACTGCAGGGGGGGCCCTCAGACTTTAGGATCCAAGCCAGGGGCCCCCCTCCTGTTCTCCACACAGGCGCCAGGATGGGCGTGCCACTCAACCTTTAATCTGTCCCTATCCAGCCAGCCAACTCCTCAGTCTGGACCTCTGCACTGCCTCTCACCATCAGTGCGAGGTCCAGTGACCTTCGTGGGGGCAGCTGCACCACCAGCCTTGGCTGCCCTACAGGTGAGGGCTGGGTCACTTGGGAAGAGCAGGGCAGGAGGAACCTGGAGGAAGGTGAGCTCTTCAGAACTGTCTGGAGGCCAGAGAAAGATAAAGAAATGATGGAAGTATCCAGGCTGTACTAGAAGGTTCAGTGCGTTCAGCTGTAGGAGCAGCAACACACAGCCAGCTGCGCTGAGCCGGCCGGGACAAACCTGAGCAGGGTTCAGACCTGGCTTCCTGGGCCCCGAGTACCCTGGTGCCCAAGGAAAAAAGTTGGGAGGGCCCGCTCCTGGATTCTGCTAGTTAGAAGAGGGTTCCTCTGGCCAGGCACAGTGGCTCATGCCTGTAATCCCAGCACTTCAGGAGGCCAAGGTGGGCAGATCACCTGAGGTCAGGAGTTCGAGACCAGCCTGACCAACATGAAGAAATCCCGTCTCTACTAAAAGACAAAATTAGCCAGGAGTGGTGGTGCATGCCTGTAATCCCAGCTACTTGGGGGGCTGAGGCCGGAGAGTCACTTGAACTTGGGAGGCAGAGGTTGCGGTGAGCCGAGATGGTGCCACTGCACTCCAGCCTGGGCAACAAGAGCAAACCTCTGCCTCAAAAAAAAAAAAAACAAAGTTTCTCAGGGCATCTTCAGAGGCCATCCTCCAAGGTCCCAGTTTCTGGCAGAGTCCCAGCTTGCAGAGCCTGGACAGCCCGGGCTTCCTGGGCTGCTCTTCACACAAGCCCCTGGTGAAGGAGCTGAAGGTCCCCCTCCTGGGCTGGGCTGAGACGGTGTTCACTCAGTGACCCCAGGACTCAGACACTGGTCACACAGGTGACCCCTGGGTCTTAGACGCTGGTTACATACATGATCACAGGGGACCGCTGCTTCCCAGGACCATCTTTGGCTTCCAAGAAAATATCCTGCTCCAAGGCATCTGCCACGACAGCCCGCTTGCCCTGCTCCTTCTTCTGCAGGGCATAGAAGCTGCCACCCATGAAGAGGGCAGCTGAGATAAGGAAGAAGCTGGACATGAAGAAAACATAGCTGAAGTTGTTGGTGGCGTCCAGGAGCAACCCTGGGGGACAGAGATCAAGTTAGGCCAGTGCTACCAGGCCTCCCCCCAACTAAACCCTGTGTTCCCTGACAGCAGGGATTTTATTTTTGTTTCTCCTGCACTAGGAATTGTGGCTGACACCCAGTAGACACTCAACAGATACTTGCTGAATGAGAGGAGGGGAAGAAACACGAAACCTCCTCTGGCCTCGGCAGGAAGAATCTTCAGGCTACAAGAGAACTTAAGGGCATGTGGTGGCAGGGAACTAGTGGAGTCTGGGATATTTGCTCAGCCACCTCCCAGGTCTCACCTCTGCCTCCTTCTGAAGAGCTCTCCCCACTTGTTTGCTTAAAGAATTCCCTTGAGGCCTGACATGGTGGCTCACGCCTGTTATCCCAGCACTTTGGGAGGCTGAGGTGGGTAGATCACGAGGTCAGGAGTTCAAGTCCAGCCTGGCCTAGATGGTGAAACCCTGTTCCTACTAAAATTACAGAAACTAGCCAGGCACGGTGGCAGGCGCCTGTAATCCCAGCTTCTTGGGAAGCTGAGGCAGAAAAATCGCTTGAACCCGGACAGCAGTGGTTGCAGTGAACCAAGACTGTGCCACTGCACTCCAACCAGGGCAACACAGTGAGACTCCATTAAAAAAAAAATTGCCTTGGATGGGCACAGTGGATCACGCCTGTAATCCCAGCACGTTGGGAGACTAAGGCAGGTGGGTCACGAGGTCAGGAGTTCGACACCAGCCTGGCAACATAGTGAAACCCTGTCTCCACTAAAAATACAAAAACTAAGGCAGGGAGCGGTGGCTCACACCTGTAATCCCAGCACTCTGGGAAGGCCGAGGCTGGCAGATTATGAGGTCAGGAGTTTGAGACCAGCCTGGCCAATACAGTGAAACCCCATCTCTACTAAAAATACAAAAATTAATCGGGTGTGGTGGCGCGCACCTGTAGTCCCAGGTACTCAGGAGGCTGAGGCAGGAGGATTGCTTGAACCTGGGAGGCGGAGGTTGCAGTGAGCTGAGATCGCTCCACTGCGCTCCAGCCTGGTGACAGAGTGGCGTCCAGGAGCAACCCTGGGGGACAGAGATCAAGTTAGGCCAGTGCTACCAGGCCTCCCCCCAACTAAACCCTGTGTTCCCTGACAGCAGGGATTTTATTTTTGTTTCTCCTGCACTAGGAATTGTGGCTGACACCCAGTAGACACTCAACAGATACTTGCTGAATGAGAGGAGGGGAAGAAACACGAAACCTCCTCTGGCCTGGGCAGGAAGAATCTTCAGGCTACAAGAGAACTTAAGGGCATGTGGTGGCAGGGAACTAGTGGAGTCTGGGATATTTGCTCAGCCACCTCCCAGGTCTCACCTCTGCCTCCTTCTGAAGAGCTCTCCCCACTTGTTTGCTTAAAGAATTCCCTTGGAAACTGGGACTTCCAATGCCACACTTGGACGGAGTCCCCACTGGGCTGAACTCAACCTCCTGGATCTACTCTAATAACCGCTGCCTTGTGTTGTCTGACTGCTCCCTAGTACCAAGGGCTTTACAAACCTGCCCTCATTTGCTCGGAATCTCACGCTCTCAGCTGCCTCTCACATGCACCTCTACTTACCTATTCGGTTTCCCTCACGTCATACATCACCACTATGGTTGTGGATGTGTCTCTTTGTTTTCACTCCTGACTCCTGCCCTAGAAGGTAATCCCCCAGAGGATGGGGACCTTTTTTTTTTTTGAGTTGGAGTTTCACTCTGTCGCCCAGGCTGGAGTGCAGTGGTGTGATCTTGGCTTACTGTAACCTCCACCTCCCGGGTTTAAGCAATTCTCCTGCCTCAGCCTCCTAAGTAACTGGGATTATAGACGCACACCACACCCAGCTAATCTTTGTATTTTTAGTAGAGATGGGGTTTCGCCATGTTGGTCAGGCTGGGAATGGAGACCTGTTGATCCCCATGCACACCCAGAGGCTGGCAGAGTTGAATAAATGGTTAGGGCAGGTGTTCTCTTCTGCATTTTGCAGATGGCACTGTGGCTCAAAAAAGGAAAAAGACTTGCCCGGGTCCCACAGGCAGGAAGCAGGAGAACCAGGATGATGATCATTACAGGAAACTCTGCAGGATGCTGACTGCACACCACACTCTCTCCTAAGCTTTCCTTGGAGGTAGATTCTATTTATCCCCACTTTACTGATAGGAAAAAGGAGGTGGCCAGGCACAGTGGCTCAGGCCTGTAATCCCAGCACTTTGGGAGGCCGAGGGAGGCAGATCATTTGAGCCTAGGAGTTTGAGACCAGCCTGGGAAATATGGTGAAACCCCATCTCCATTAAAAAAAAAAAAAAAAAAAAAATTGACTGGGTGTGGTGGCGTGTGCCTGTAGTCCCAGCTACTTGGGGGGCTGAGGTGGGAAGATCTCTTGAGTCTGGCAGGTTGAGGCTGCAGTGAGCTGTGACTGCACCACTGCACTCCAGCCTGGGTGACAGAGCGAGACCTTGTCTCAACAAAAAGGAAAAAGGAGGTACAGGGAGGATGATGGAGGACTGAGGTCTGGTACACAAAACCCATGCTTTTTTTTTTTTCTTGAGATGGAGTCTCACTCTGTCACCCAGGCTGGAGTGCAGTGGCGTGATCTCAGCTCACTGCAAGCTCCGCCTCCCAGGTTCAAACGATTCTCCTGTGTCAGCTTCCTGAGTAGCTGCGACTTACAGGCACGTGCCACCACACCCACCTAATTTTTTTGTATTTTTTGTAGAGATGGGATTTCACCATGTTAGCCAGGTTAGTCTCGATCTCCTGACCTCGTGATCCACCTGCCTCAGCCTCCCAAAGTGCTAGGATTACAGGCGTGAGCCACCGCATTCAGTCACAAACCCATGCTTTTAACTGTTCATACTCTGAGTGCCAGGTGAGAAATCAGCTGTAGCACAAACCTCTGGAGATGCTGGACAGGGCCCAGATCTGTCTAAACTGTTCCCCTTGTACCACACTATTTGGCTACCCTCCCTCCCAGCTCCTCACCGGCCAGTGGTGGGGAGATGAGGAAAGCAAAGCCATCCAGGACAGTGAAGAGTCCCAGGGCTCTGGGGAACTGATCCATAGGGACGATGTCCATGAGAACCTGGAAGACGAGGGCGCCGATGCCGCTCATGGACACGCTGTACACCAGGCAGTAGCCCACGAGCACCCAGAAGTCACCTGATGCCGCACACACCAGGTTAGTGAGCCCATTGAGCAGGAATGCCAGGCTGAACAGGTACTTGCGGTGGCTAGCAAAAGCTGGCCGTCCTGCCATCAGTCCGGCTAGGGGCCTCAGGAAGATGTTGCTGAAGCCAATGATGGAGATGAGGAGGGCTGCCTGCTGCTCGTCCACCCCGTGCCACATGGCATATGGCACCAAGAAGACTTGTGGCAGTGGGAAGCCCAGGATGGACCACATCACACCCAGTACGTACACGCAGTAGCCTGTGTTGTGCCGCAGGATGTCGAAGGCCAGGTGGCGCTGGATGGTCCGGCCACATGCGGCCACGCAGCCAAGTGCAGGTGTCTCGGGAGGTGGTGGGGGACATTCTTTGGTCTCAGGGGCCACACTGGTGGCCACAGGCCTCATGATGGCCCCGCAGATGCAGCAGTGGAGAAAGACCCCGCCGAAGACAAGGAAGGTACCCCTCCAGCCCAGGTCCTCCAGGAGGTAGCGGGAGAGCAGTGGCCAGAGCGTGATGCCCAGGGAGACGCCCATGGAGGCCAGCGCGTTGGCCAGCACCCGCCGGCGGACAAAATAGAAGCCCAGCACCGTGATACTTGACTGGAAGCTGAAGCACATGCCCAGGCCTATGGGGCAAGAGGGGATACCAGCCTGGAGGCACAGTGGGGCCTTCCACCTGCACCCAGGGGTGGGGTCAGGGGTCATTTCACACACCTGCCCTCCTCTGGTTCTAGTCCATACCCAGCTGCAAGTCCCCGGGGACTGAAGATGGAATCAGCTGGCCTTGCCACCTCCCTGTAAGCACCGCACCCCAGATCGGCCCTCCCAAGGCTGCCAGGGCATCCCTATTCCCCTAGGTGTTATCTTTTAAAAACCCAAATTGGGCCGAGCATGGTGGATAGTGCCTGTAATCCCAGCATTTTGGCAGGCGAAGGTTGGTGGATCACTTGAGGTCAGGAGTTTGAGACCAGCCTGGCCAACATGGTGAAACCCCATCTCTACTAAAAATACAAAAAAATTAGCCAGGCCTAGTGGCAGGTGCCTGTAGTCTGTAGTAGCTACTTAGGAGGCTGAGTCAGGAGAATCAGTTGAACCTGGAAAGTGGAGGTTGCAGTGAGCTAAGATTGTACCACTATACTCCAGCCTGGGCAACAGAGTCAGACTCTGTCTCAAAAACAAACAAACCCCAAATTGGATTAAGTCTCTCTTGGCTTAACACCTTCCAAAGACTTCCCATCACACTTGACAAAAAAATCCACAGTCTCCACAATGCCCTGGAAGGCTCTCTGTGGTCTGGCTCCGGCCCACCTTTCCGATGCCATCTCAGGCCGCTCCCTGTCACTAGGATCAAGCCACAGGAGCTTCTTTCTCTGCCTCTGAACATGAAGCTGCCCTTAGGGACCTCAGGTCATTTGTAGCTGCTGTTCCTTCTGCTTGGAATCTGCTTCCTCCACTCTCCTCTCAGTTCAGACACCACCTCTCCAGAGGGGCCTTCCTAGCTTCCCACCCACTCAGTGTCTGCACCTGCGCACCTGGGCATGCCGGAGAGAAAGCTGTCAATCGTGTGTGATCATGGCCTCAGGCGGGCCCTCAGGCTGCCTGTGACGCCACTACAGCTCCCTCAATCGTGCCCTGCCTGCCCTGCTAGGTGACTACTGGGTCTCTTCCTCTGTGCACCCAACACCTCCTCCCCATCCTCATGCTCAGCTGCCCACATGCCTGCCCACTGGTGACAATGGCTTGCCCATTCCCCCAGTGCCTGTCCCTCCCTTCTGCCCTGCATCCTTTCCACTCAGAGGCACCCCTCTAGCAAGTCCCCTCTCTCCTGAGTCATCCTTTTTCTCTTCTTTCCTAGATCATTCTCCTTAGTTATTTCTCCCATTAAAAAAAAAAAAAAAAAAAACTCTCTTGACGTCATAACCACTTCCGGGTATAGTCTATTCCTCTAGTCCCCTTAGAACAAAATGCTGTGGAAGGGCTGGGTGTGGTGGGCTCACACCTGTAATCCCAGCACTTTGTTTTTTGTGTTTTTGAGATGGGGTCTTGCTCTGTTGCCCAGGCCGGAGTATAGTGGTGTGATCTTGGCTCACTGCAACCTCCATTTCCTGGGTCCTGCCTCAGCCTCGAGTAGCTGGGACTACAAGGGCCTGCCATGAAGCCTGGCTAATTTTTGTATTTTTTTTTCAGTAGAGACAGGGTTTCACCACATTGGCTGGGCTGGTCTCGAACCCCTGACCTCAGGTGATCGCCCGCCTCAGCCGCCCAAAGTGCTGGGATAACAGGCGTGAGCCACCGCGCCCAGCCAGCAGTTCCAGAAGATTAAGAGGCCTGCCTGCCCTGTCCGCTTGTGCCTGGCACTTTCTAGCAGCTGCCTATAAATTCTGGAGCTGAAGTGATAGTCACCTGTGATGAATCCTGCTGTGAAGTAGAGCTGGCTGAGGTTGCGAGAGAAGGAGCTGGCCACCATGCCCAGGCTGGCCAGCACACCTCCCAGCATCGTGGTCACTCGGCAGCCGAAGCGTCCCACCAGGATACTGCACAGGGGCCCTGTGGGAGAAGACAGCCCGAAGGTAGCAGCTGAATGAGGAGGTGGCCGGAGAGGAGGAGAGTGGTTGGGGGAGGGCAGTGTCAGCAGGAACTAGTCAGGTGGTTTCAAGGGCAGGAGCAGGCCTGGATTCTGATATACCCACCTGCCACGGACTTGCCACGTGGCCTGAGCGAGGCCTGATCCCTCTCCGTGTCTCAGTTTTTTCCCCTACAAAGGATTCAGACTGGGCGATGTTTAACCCTGATGAGGATTCCCAGAAAGGTGGAGCAAGACCCTGCACTGCACCGAACTGAGGCTGCTCCTTCTGTCTGGGTGAAACAAGATTGGTTCATGAGTTCACCACCTCCCCGACTTCGCTGGGGGTCTGTTGGTGGGAGGAGTCAGGGCAGTGTTCCAGGACGTCTAGACCACAGTGTTCACCTTCAGATCCTGTTTTACCTGTCCCACCCCCACCCCCAGCATCCTCAGGAAGACTGGCTAGATCCCTCCCACCCTTCCACCACCTTCCCAGCCCTACAGCTGAGGGGAGCCCTGGGCCCCTCTGCGCCTCCTTGCACTGGCCTCTAGAGTGTTCTGCAGAAAATCAGGCAGGGTAGGTTCTCCCCTCCCGCACCACCTCCAGCACCACCAAAGTCTGCACCACTAGGACCAAGCCACAGGAGCTTCTTTCTGTGCCTCTGAACATGAAGTTACCCCTAGGTTTGGTTCACTGTGGACAGGGCCCTGTTCCTTGCCTGGCTCCCAGCTGCTTTCTCACCAATCCACACCCCAAAAAAATAGAAAAGAGCCGCAGACTGCTCCTTGGCATCTCACAGGGACCCCATTCACCCAAGGACATGGGGAGCTTCTCTAACTCACTCTCTGAGAGTGCGACTAAAGAGACAGGGGAAGTGTGTGTGCATGAGGTGCTTGTGTGTGTCTGTGGTGGAGGGGGGATGTGTGGTGTGAGCCAGTGTGAGTATAAAAGTGACAGAGTAGGCCAGGTACGGTGGCTCATGCCTGTAATCCCAGTACTTTGGAAGGCCAAGGTGGGTGGATCACTTGAGGTCAGGAGTTCGAGACCAGCCTGGCCAACATGGTGAAACCCCATCTCTACTAAAAATATAAAAAGTAGCCAGGCGTGGTGGTGCATGTCTGTAATCCCAGCTATTGGGAGGCTGAGGCAGGAGAACTGCTTGAACCCGGGAGGCGGAACCCAGTGCACTCCAGCCTGGGTGACAGAGTGAAACTACATCTCAAAAAAAAAAAAAAAAATCCTAAAATTTATATGCAATCACAAAAAACCTTAAACAGCCAAAGAAATACTGACCAAAAAAAAAGTGATGGAGTGACCGGGTGCGGTGGCTCACACCTGTAATCTCAGCACTTTGGGAGGCCAAGGCAGATGGATCACCTGAGGTCAGGAGTTCCAGACCAGCCTGGCTAACATGGTGAAACCCCGTCTCTACTAAAAATACAAAAATTAGCCGGGTGTGATGGCGGGTGCCTGCAATCCCAGCTACTAGGGAGGCTGAAGCAGGAGAATCGCTTGAACCCGGGAGGTGGAGGTTGCAGTGAGCAGAGATCACGCTGCTGCACTCCAACCTGGGTGACAGAGGGAGACTCCTCTGAAAAAAAAAAAAAAAGTGACAGACTAAGTGAGCAGCCCATCCTCAGACATAATCAAGCAGAGGCTGGTGGCCTGGCGTCTCTGCCACTGTAAAGGGGCAGGTGGCTCTGGAAAGGACTGACCCACAGATCTTCCCCATGCCAGAGACTCTGGCCTGATTTAGGGAAGGTGACATTGAGGAAAGCCCTGAGTCATAGGGTTGGGGGTGGGGACAGGACTGCAGGCCAGCTGCATAGCTGAGGGTGGTGTGGCTGGGCGGCAGGCAGGGCGTTTCCTCTGCAGGGCGCTCCTTCTGCCGTGAACTCACTCTTCAGCCTTGAGCAGGTCTTGTATTTTGTGCCTGCTTGCTTTCCTTACCTCTAAAAGGTGTACGTAGGGGCAGGGACACTTGAAAGGATCAGTGAAAGTATCCCTGATTCATCATGTTTAAAAATTTCTACAATACTGTGGTCAGGTGCCATGGCTCATGTCTGTAATCCTGGCACTTTGAGAGGCTCAGGCAGGTAGATCACTTGAGCCCAGGAGTTTGAGACCAGCCTGAGCAACATAGTGAGACCCCGTCTCTACAAAAAGTAAAAAAATTAGCTGGGTATGGGCTGGGCGCAGTGGCTCACACCTGTAATCCCAGCCCTTTGGGAGGCCAAGGCCGGCGGATCACAAAGTCAGGAGATCGAGACCATCCTGGCTAACACGGTGAAACCCTGTCTCTACTAAAATACAAAAAATTAGCCAGGCGTGGTGGCACACGCCTGTAGTCCCAGCTACTCAGGAGGCTGAGGCAGGAGAATTGCTTGAACCCGGGAGGCGGAGGTTGCAGTGAGCCGAGATTGCACCACTGCACTCCAGCCTGGGCAACAGAGTGAGACTCCATCTCAAAAAAAAATTAGCTGGGTATGGTGGTGCACACCTGTGGTCCCAGCTACTCGGGAGGCTGAGGTGGGAGGATCGCTTGAGCTTGAAAGGTCAAGGCTGCAATAAGCTGTGATCATGCCACTGTGCTCCAGCCCAGGTGACAGAATGAGACTCTGTCTCAAAAATAAGCAAATCAATAAATAAACATAGATAAAAGAAAATGTCTACAGTACTCTGAATGAGCACGGGCTCATGCACATGTATGTGTATACGAGAGAGACTGCCAGCCAGGAATCCCATGCTGATGGAGCTGCTGAGATGCCTGCTGTGGGTGGTGAGCTCCGAGTCGTCTGGGGAGTAGGTTCCCCACCAGATGCCCGGTTCCTAGCCCCTGGCCCAGGCACCCTGCTCTGCCTGTGTGAGAAGAAGTCCTCCGGGATTCCCACTCCCTGCCCCAACCCTGCAGGCGAGCGGCCATGCGGCAGATTCAGAGTTCACCCGGGAGGGTCACGCTCTCTCCCAACCCAACCTCCCTCCCAGTGTGAGGGCAGGACCTGGAATAATAAGCAGGCTGCTGGTGGCAAGTGGAGGGAGTAACCGGGAGGTAGCCGGGGAGATGGGCAGCTGCGGCCAGCAGACACACGCCTGCAGAGGCCTGTGGGCCATCAGCTTGGGCTCCGGGCCCCTCCGAGACTGGGGTCTATGCAGTCCCTGGAGAGCTCCCAAGGAGCCCAGAGAATCCTCCCTCTGCCCTGTTCCCAACGCTGGGGTCAGGGTGAGGCAGTCACGCTCCTGGAAAAGTCAGCCAGGAAACAGGGGCCTCTGAGGCCTGTGGTGACAGAGCCAGGAGAAGGGGCAGGCAGGGGCTGCCTTCCTCCCTCACCCCCACTTAGCAACCTCTTCTCTGCAGGGAGTCCCGGGAGAGCTGGGGCTCCTGGCCTTGTCCCCCTCTTGTTCCCGGTGTCTTTTTTTTTTTTTTTTTTTTTGAGACAGTTGCTCTTGTCGCCCAGGCTGGAGTGCAATGGCACCATCTCGGCTCACCGCAACCTCTACCTCCCGGGTTCAAGCGATTCTCCTGCCTCAGCCTCCCGAGTAGCTGGGATTACAGGCATGCACTATCACGCCCGGCTAATTTTGTATTTTTAGTAGAGACAGGGTTTCTCCATGTCGGTCAGGCTGGTCTCAAACTCCTGACCTCAGGTGATCCGCCCGCCTCAGCCTCCCAAAGTGCTGGGATTACAGGCGTGAGCCACCGCGCCCGGCCATTCCTGGTGTCTTCCTTACGTCCCCTTTCCTATCCTGAAGCCACTCCCTGCCCCAGTGAGGGTCTCCAAAATATTAATAATTCACAGCCGCATACACTTCCCAGCTCCCAGCACCTCCAGGGAAGACAGTGGTCTTCCTTGCTATTCCACGTGGGAGCTGGGCGGGATGCCAGGCATTACCCTTAGACTGCAGAGGAAGCAACCAAGGTTCAGAGAGACCGGCCAGCTGGAAAGCAGGAGAGGCTTGGTGGGCTGGCCCCAGCGCTCTTCCCAGCCTGGCACTGTGCGCCCCAGCACACCTACACCTGTGTCTGAATGGATCCCACAGAAAGGACACAAGGCTCCGCCTGGCTTTGTAACCCAGGCACCTCCCCACTCTCTCTCCAGCTCCAGCCCAGTCCAGCTGGATTCCAGCCAGGGGCCCCTGGTGAAATCCGGTGAAACCTTAGGAATTCACCCAGGAGGCAAAGCCTGTGGCCTCAGAGAGAGGGAACCAGAAGGCCAGAGAGGGAACCAGAGAGGGAACCAGAAGGGTTGTGGCTTCCCTGCAACCCCCAGGCCTTTCTCATCAGCCCCTCCCCAGGCCACTCACCTGCCATGTGGAGCACAGCCATAAGGATGGAGGGGATCCAAGAGGTCTGGCTGTTGCTGGCCTGGAACTCCCATTGCAGATCAGTGAAGAAGATGCCGATACACGTGGGGAAGCCCAGGGTGAGGCCCTGGGTCACCATGGTGGCCAGCAGCACCACCCAGGCCCAGCTGCCATCTGCACGCTCCAGGGCCTGGGGCATCCTCTGCTGCTGACACTGCCACGGCCTCACTGCCACTGTGGCTGCTGCCTGGAGAGGCGACAGAATGGAGCCTGGTGTTCAGTAGGCTGCCCGTCTTTTCTGGCCCACCTGCCACCTTCTCTCGGCAGCTAAGCAGTCCCTTCCTCACACTCAAGTACCAGGTGTCACAGAGGGGCACCGCCCCTGGGAGGTGGCCAGAGGCCCACGCATTGGCCTTAGCATCTCCTTTCACCCACTTCCCAGAGCCAGCCTGGCAGGAGGTGGCAGGAAGGACAGGAAGGACAGGACGGGGCAGGGCAGGTGGCACCAGGCAATGGGGTGCAATTGTTTCTAATTGTTACATCACTTAGAAGTCAGCAGGGGGACCTCCTGGCCCACTCAGTCACTGCTTGTAGAATGCAGCAGACCTGTGGGGTCAGTGTGGTTCCAACGCCCCCAAATGCACACACGGATACATTTCAGACACTCCTGCCCAGAGTTCCTGCATAAGAACACAGACTTTGGCCGGGCGCGGTGGCTCAAGCCTGTAATCCCAGCACTTTGGGAGGCCGAGACGGGCGGATCACGAGGTCAGGAGATCGAGACCATCCTGGCTAACACGGTGAAACCCCATCTCTACTAAAAAATACAAAAAACTAGCCGGGCGAGGTGGCGGGCGCCTGTAGTCCCAGCTACTCCGGAGGCTGAGGCAGGAGAATGGCGCAAACCTGGGAGGCGGAGCTTGCAGTGAGCTGAGATCCGGCCACTGCACTCCAGCCTGGGTGACAGAGCGAGACTCCGTCTCAGAAAAAAAAAAAAAAAAAAAAATAAGAACACAGACTTTCACAATGCCTCAGAGGCAGCAAAGTTACCATTGGTGCTGTTGTGAAGGCCCGAGTGAGCAGGCCGGTGCTGGGGGCAGCCACGGAGCATACACAAAAGAGTTGAACAAGGACCCAACCAGCAGCTTTAGAGAAGGCATGGGCCTCATCAACCCACACACCCCCACGCCTTTCCCATCAGCCCCTTTGCAATCCCCCTGCAATACTCCTTTCATACAGAGCTCAAGGCCAAGACTCAAGTTACTCAATCACATGGAATAATACACACACACACACACACCACCCCCCCCCCAGTGGCACTCAGATACAGACACATACCCAGTCACACACGGACACAGTCACAGCACACACGCAGACAGCACAGAAACATACAGACACACACACACACACACACACACTCAGTTACACACACAGAGATCCACCGACCCACACAAAGACCACACAGGCACACAAACTCATATAAAGACACACACTTGGCTGGGCGCGGTGGCTCACACCTATAATCCCGCACTCTGGGAGGCCGAGACAGGCGGATCATGAGGTTAGAAGATCGAGACTATCCTGGCCAACATGGTGAAACCCCATCTCTATTAAAAATACAAAAATCCCAGCTACTTGGGAGGCTGAGGCAGGAGAATCGCTTGAACCCAGGAGACGGAGGTTGCAGTGAGCCGAGATTGCCCAGTGACATAGCAAGACTCCGTCTCAAGAAAAAGAAAAAGACACACACTTACATAGACACTCAAAAAAGTGCAGAGACATGAAGAGACGCTGACAGATACATACTACACAGATCCGTAGACAGTCACACCAACACACAGAGATATATACCGTCACACACAGTTCAAGCATACAAACTCACACACAGAGGCATACAAGCAGGTACGTAAGACACACTAGCAGACACGCACACAGTTACACACACAGAGAGACACACGCACACGTACATGCATGCAGACATGCCCAGAGTCACACATGCTACACAGACATACAGACACACACAGTCACACACTATGCAGACATGCACATGTGCCTGTGCGCACACACACACACCCACCTCACGTCCTTGGCTCAGCAAGGTGCAGCCAGTCCTATTTTAGTTCAACACAACCCAGGCCACTCCCCTCATCACAGAAGCTGCCATAACCAGGCCTCCAAAGTCCCAAGGTCCCCTCCCCAAGTTTGGACCCCTTTTTCAACCCCCTCCCATCCTGCCTCCTGCTCCCTGCCCCCTCAGACCCCTCAGACCTCACCGCCTGGGGGTCTAGGCTGCAGCAGGCACTGCAAGGGAGCAGCCTCCACCTCAGTGAAGCCCACGCATCCTGGGGTTGCTGTTCCCACAGCCTCCCTCCCTTTCACCCCAGGTCCTGGGAAGCTCCGAGGAAACTCAGAAAACTACCAGAAATATGAAACCCCCTTTTCCTGCCAAGCCCAGCACCCCACTGCTTCCCTCCAGGCCTAGGAGTTTTAAAGCAGCACCTAAGCCGGCTCCACCCTGAACTGCCTCCTTCGAGGTCTCCAATCCTCCACCCTCCCAGAGGACCCTGGGAGTCCCATCAAGGTGACCCGTCCCATTCATCGCAGTCCCAGGGTGTGAGGGTGTGTGACCCACATGCAGGGCAGAGCACTGCCTGCCCTCCTGCCCTCTGCATAGGACCTCTGGCTAGAGATCTTCCCAGCCCGGCCCTCCTCCTGGCCCAGTCCCAGGCCAGGCAATATAGCAGATAAGGCTTCTCCAGCAAACTAGCCCTCGCCTCTTCCAGGATTTCTGTTCCCTCAGCAAACGAAAAGGCCACAGGCGCCACCTGATCCTCTGTGTTGCCCCAATGTCAAGGTTCCAGCCCTGCTCCATAACTCGCCCTTCCTCCCCAGCTCTTCCACTCTCCCACTTGACACTCTGACCTCTTCCTCCCGCAAAGGCCACAGCCTTCCTGGCTTCCTCCTGCCTTTCCCTGTTCCCTGCCACCCAGCCCTGGCACTCCCAGGCCCGGAGGCCCTGGCGGCATTTGGGAGGCCTGGAGGCTGGACCCCAGCCCCGCTCCCTCTCCCCACTGCCTGGCTCTGTCCCTTCTTGCTCTGCCGGGAAGAAGTCTATGGAGAAGTCTCTTTCTATGAGAAGAGCTCTTCTCAGCATCCACTTTTTGGGGCAATGTTTTTGGGGACTTTGCCCAGGCTCCTGTGACCTTCACTCTGGATCCCACCTTCCCTCTGGAACCTTTCAGTGGAGCTGGCTGTTCCTGACCATTTCCTCTCTCCAGGTCCCAGGCCAATCCGAGCCCAGGAATCCTTATGTACCTTTGCACGCTAGAAGCCCTGCTGCCAGGACGGGCGCGGTGGTTCACGCCTGTAATCCCAGCACTTTGGGTGACTAAGGCAGTGGATCACGAGGTCAGGAGTTTGAAACCAGCCTGGCCGACATAGTGAAACTCGTCTCTACTGGAAATACAATAATTAGCCGGGCATGGTGGGGCTCGCCTGTAGTCGCAGCTACTCGGGAGGTTGAGGCAGGAGAATCGCTTGAACCCAGGAGGTGGAGGTTGTGGTGAGCCGAGATCATGTCACTGCACTCCAGCCTGGGCAACAGAGTGAGACTCCGTCTCCAAAAAAAAAAAAAAGCCCTGCCACCGAGGTCTGAGGACCCCCTTCCCCCGCCTCTCTCTGGGACCCCCACTGCAGACTTCCATGTCTCCTCTCCCACTCCCAGCAAGTCCCAGGTCACATACACGGTGTGGATGCCCAGTCGGCTGTCCAGCTTCCCCTCCCATCAAGCGGTTTCTCCAGTCAACTGATCTTTCAGAATTCAGCCCTGCCGGGCGCGGTGGCTCACACCTGTAATCCCAGCATTTTGGGAGGCTGAGGCAGGCAGATCACCTGAGGTCAGGAGTTTGAGACCAGCCTGGCCAACATGGTGAAACCCTGTCTCTACTAAAAATAAAAAATTAGGCTGAGGCAGGAGAATCGCTTGAACCCGGGAGGCGGAGTTTGCAGTGAGCCGAGATCACGTCACTGCACTCCAGCCTGGGTGACAGTGAGACTCTATTTCAAAAAAAAAAAAAAAAAAAATTCAGCCCTTAGGCTGCTCCAAAGGTTGTGAGTTATTTCAGTTAATTGTTCACAGGCAGGTACAGATCAAACTCCTTGTTCTACTCTTTCCCTGCTTCTCACTACAGCTCCTGAGTAGTCTTAGAAGATTCAGCCCAGCTGGGTGTGGTGGCTCACGCCTGTAATCCTAGCACTTTGGGAGGCCGTGGCTGGCGGATCACGAGGTCAGGAGATCAAGACCATCCTGGCTAACATGGTGAAACCCCATCTCCACTAAAAAATATACAAAAATTAGCCGGGCGTGGTGGCGGGCACCTATAGTCCCAGCTACTTCGGAGGCTAAGGCAGGAGAATGGCATGAACCCAGGAGGTGGAGCTTGATTCCATCTCAAAAAAAATAAAAAGAAAAAGAAGATTCAGCTGTAGCAGCATCCCTGAGAGCTACCCTGACTCCCACCCCAGGCTGGGCTGCACCTCCTTCCTGTTTTCTGCCTTTTTTTTTCCCCAAGATGGAGTCTTGCTCTGTCTCCCAGGCTGGAGTGCAGTGGTGCAATCTCAGCTCACTGCAATCTCTGCCTCCCAGGTTCAAGCAATTCTCCTGCCTCAGCCTCCAAAGTAGCTGGGATTACAGGCGTATGCCACTATGTCCGGCTAATTTTTGTATTTTTAGTAGAGATGGGGTTTCACCATGTCAGCCAGGTGGTCTTGAACTCCTGACCTTAAGTGATCCGCCTGCCTCAGCCTCCCAAAGTGCTGGGATTACAGGTGTGAGACACCGTGCCCAGCCTGTTTTCTCACCTTAATAGTGGTCTTCACACCACACGGGAGTGGATCACCCCCTTGTCTATCGTTACCTCCACCCTGCTACCCTCTTCCACACTATGAGCAAGAACCTGTTCATGAACCCGCACCCAGCCTCCGGCTGAGCACAAAAGAGGAGATGAACGTGACCCACCTGTGTTCCCCAGGGGGCAGGCAGGCCCAGGACCAAAGGCCATGCAGCTTCCAGGCAGGGAGGTCCATTCCAGACTCAAGCAGGGCAGAGAGGTGATGGGGCGAGGGCTCTGGCTTGGCCTCTGCCCCAGCAGGGAAGTGGTCTTTTCTTTGTACTGGGAACCATGAGTCATGGTCACTGCCTGGTGTGTGCTTTGGGCAACGAGGTAGACAGGGCAAGTTGCTTCGCTCTCACTTGCTGGGACTAGGGGTGAGGTTGGGCCCCAGGGGCTGCCTCAAGGGCCCCTAGGCCCAATGAGACCGGCTTCATAGCCCAGTGCCATGAAGTTGGATGTGTGGGCAGAGAGAAGTTTAGGTGATATTTCTGGTCTTTCTCCCATCTCACGCAAGACCAGCCTATGTTTTCAGGGTGCCTCATCTGATAACAGGGGCCTCACTAGGCCCTGGGAATCCCTTCCCTGCCCCTGGACCTCGAAGGCCTGGTCACAGGGGAGAGCGGATGCTCTCATCCAGGGGTCTCCGGTTAGGGGCCTGGTGTCCAGAGTCCAGGGGGCTTCCTCTTCCTCTTCCCGGTGGGAGAGTCCGGGGCTGGAAATGAGGAAGGCCCTGGGGACCCCTCCCTCACTCCCATATCAAGCAGGCTTCTGGGCTGGTGCCCAGGACCCAGGCGGGCAGCAGAAGGGCTGCTGCCCAGCAGAGAGCAGCAAGGGCAGGCTTGAGCTTGGGGCTGAGGAACTCTCAACCCTGTGGCTGGCCCAAGGAGGAGGGAGGCAGCCCCAGAGGTAGGGTGGCTGGGGCAAGTCACTCCCTCCCTTCCCCTTGTTCCCCCACATTCCCTGCAGACCAGCACGGGTTTGGGACAGGCAACTGGGACCTCAGGCCGTACTCTCGCCCTGCCCATCCCCGCAGTCCTGCCCCGGAATCTGGTTTCCATTCCGCTCTCCCTCCCTCCCCAGGACAGAGCCCCTCCGAGTGGGGCTGCTAGGATCCCGGGCTGTGTCCGCCTTGGAATTTCGGGCCAGGAGTCCCAGCGCGCTCGGGTTTGGGGGTCATCACCCCAGGCCCCGGGGCAGTCCAGGACCAGGAGAGGAAAACTTTTCTAGATCCTCACCGCTACTGAGCCCGCCCAAGAGGGAAGGGACGGGGGCCCCGGCAGGAGGTCTGCGACAGCACTAGCGGGGACTGGACGAGGAGGGGACGCGTCCGAGGCAGTGGGGCTCGGGCAGCCCGCTCACCCGCTCGCACGGGCCTGGCGGAGAGGTGGCTCAGCTCCCCGAGCGCGGCGTCCTGCGGCCCGGGCGGGTGGCGACGAGGACTGCGGAACAGGGTCAGGCGCCGCGGCCAGGCAGGGCGGGCCCAGGGCCGCGTGGGCGGGGACCCACCTTCCAGCCTCCCCTGGATTCCGTCGGGTGGGGAAGGGGCCAGGCCTCGGGAGGGGCGGCGGGCGTGGCCGGGGACCGTCCAGCAGCCGGGCCCGGCTCCGGACGCAAGCGCCGCGGGATATCCACGTGTCGGAAATTTGCACAACCCGGATGCCTTCTTTCTATCTTCTGGTTTTCCCTGCTCAGGGTCTAGGGCCCCGGGCGTGGGGCGGAGATAACACGCCATAAAGAGACCGCACCTCCCAGGAAGTGGGGTGGGGAAGGCGCAGAGGCCGAGGTTGAGGATCCCTTGTTTCTGCGCTTTCCCTTCCCAGGAGCGCTTCCAGTGAAAGTCTCGAGCTTTGAGGGCTGAGCCTGCGGGTGGGAGTCCAGGCAGTCCCATGTAGGGGAGCAGGCAGACCCCTCAGCCCTGGGAGCAGGTGAGAGGACACCCACCACTTATGCATGTGGCCCTCAGAACTGCAGGCCCTTTTCAGGTTTTTCCCCCTTCCCCTACCTGGGCAGCCCTTGATGTGCTTTAGTTAAAATGTACTCAGTTGGCCGGAGTCTAGCTCTGTCGCCCAGGCTGGAGTGCAGTGGCACAATCTCAGCTCACTGCAACTTCCACCTCCTGGATTCAAGCAATCCTCCTGCCTCAGCCTCCTGAGTAGCTAGGATTGCAGGTGCACACCACTGCACCCGGGTAATTCTTGTATTTTCAGTAGAGATGGGTTTCACCATGTTGGTCTTGAACTCCTGACTCACCAGGCTGGTCTTGAACTCCTGACCTCAGGTGATCCACCCGCCTTGGCCTCTCAAAGTGCTGGGATCACAGGCATGAGCACCGCACCTGGCCTTGTTTAATTTTGATCTGTGGACGGTGGAGTTTCACAGCCTCTGACCTTCACCCTCCCTCTTCTCACTCCACATTGTGACTCCAACCTCATCCTGTATACTCGCGACCCGGTGCCTTTTATGTCCAGTCCAGATATTCAACCTGGAACCTATCCTTCTGTGCCTCAAAGGATCTTAAAACCCAACACTGACCAGAACTCACCGTTGACACTGTCCTCTGCCGCCCCTGCTAAACCTGGGATACCTTATGTGCTCCATGCTTGAGCAAATTACAGCCCCACATCTACTTAGGTGCCTGAGCCAAATCCCATGAGTCTCTTTGACCTTCACCTCTTTCACAACCAATCCACAACCAAGTCCCACTCACTTTACCCCTTTACTGTTTCTCAAACCTGACCATTTACCCTCATCTCCATCCCTGCACCATCCACCGCCACCTGTGGTCCAGCTCAGACCTCAGATTCCTTGTCAACACTGTAGGTGACTGATCTTTAGGATCCATTAAGCCTGATCTTGCCCTACTGCCAACTCTGCTTAAAACCCTGCAGCCCCTTGGCCAGGCGCAGTGGCTCATGCCTGTAATCCCAGCACTTTGGGAGGCTGAGGTGGGCAGAGCACCTGAGGTCAGAGGTTCGAGACCAGCCTGGCTAACATGGTGAAACCTGGTCTCTACCAAAAATACAAAAATTAGCTGGGTGTGGTGGCGCATGCCTATAATCCCAGCTACTCGGGAGGCTGAGGCAAGAGAATCGCTTTAACCCGGGAGGTGGAGGTTGTAGTGAGCTGAGATAATGCCATTGCACTCCAGCCTGGGTGACAAGAGCGAAACTTGGTATAAAAAAAACACAAGGCCGGGCGCGGTGGCTCAAGCCTGTAATCCCAGCACTTTGGGAGGCCGAGACGGGCAGATCACGAGGTCAGGAGATTGAGACCATCCTGGCTAACCCGGTGAAACCCCGTCTCTACTAAAAAATACAAAACACTAGCCGGGCGAGGTGGCGGGCGCCTGTAGTCCCAGCTACTCGGGAGGCTGAGGCAGGAGAATGGCGTGAACCCGGGAGGCGGAGCTTGCAGTGAGCCGAGATCGCGCCACTGCACTCCAGCCTGGGCGACTAAGCGAGACTCTGTCTCAAAAAAAAAAAAAAAAAAAAAAAACCACAAAAACCCTTCAGGCCTTGGAGATGAAGGTGAGCCCCTGAGGTGGCTACAGGGCCCTTCTAAGCCTAGCCCTTACCCACTTTCTGGTCTCAAATCATTCTCCTTCACTGACTGACCTCAGCCACTGTAACTGCCCAATGGGTTCACTTTGCCCCCTGCCTAGACAGACCCGATTTATCAAAACACGGGCTATTGAAATAGAGAAAGACTAATTCACGCATATCTGGCTGCGTGGAAGACCGGAGTTTTATTACTACTCAAATCAGTCTCCCATTTGGGGATCAGAGTTTTTTTTTTTTTTTTGAGATGGAGTCTCACTGTGTCGCCCAGGCTGGAGTGCAGTGGCCGGATCTTAGCTCACTGCAAGCGCCGCCTCCTGGGTTTACGCCATTCTCCTGCCTCAGCCTCCCGAGTAGCTGGGACTACAGGCACCTGCCACCTCGCCAGGCTAGTTTTTTTGGTTTTTTTTTGTTTTTGTTTTTGTTTTTTAGTAGAGAACAATGTTTCACCGTGTTAGCCAGGATGGTCTCAATCTCCTGACCTTGTGGTCCGCCCGTCTCAGCCTCCCAAAGTGCTGGGATTACAGGTTTGAGCCACTGTGCCCGGCCTTGGATCAGAGTTTTTAAAGACAATTTGGCGGGTAGGGGCTGGGGAAGTGGGGAGTGCTGATTGGTCAGATTGGAGACGGAATCATAAGGGGTTGAAGTGAGGTTTTCTTGCTGTCCGCTGTTCCTGGGTGGGATGGCAGAAGTGGTTGAGCCAGATTACCAGTCTGGGTGGTGTCAGCTGATCCATGGAGTTCAGAGTCTACAAAATATCTCAAGCACTGGTCTTAGGTTTTGCAGTTGTGATGTTATCCCCAGGAGCAATCTGGGAAGCTTCAGACTCCTGCAGCCAGGGGCTGCATGACCCCTAAATCGCAATTTCTTTCTTTCTGGTTTTTTTTTTTTTTTTTTTTTGAGACAGTCTTATTCTGTCGCTCAGGCTGAGTGCAGTGGCACAATCTCAGCTCACTGCAGCCTCCGTGTCCCAGGTTCAAGTGATTCTCCTGCCTCAGCCTCCTGAGTAGCTGGGGCTACAGGTGTGTGCCACCACACCCAGCTAATTTTTGCATTTTTAGTAGAGACAGGGTTTCACCGTGTTGGCCAGGCTGATCTTGAACTCTTGACCTCAAGCGATCCACTCACCTCAGCCTCCCAAAGTGCTGGGATCATGGGCTCTACTTAAGGCTTCCACAGACACCCTCTCCCTTCCAGCCCAGCCTGCAGACACTGCCCGTGTGGGGGAGGAAAGAGTAAAGGCTTCCTTCCCAGTCACTGCCATTGGTCTTGCCCCTGCTTGCCTCCCCACCTGTGAAAAGTGGGATGATGGGCGATGCCTCCAGGTTCTTTGGTCTCTTGGACCTCCTGAATCTGGGTTCCAAACTTGGAGTCACATCGAGGGAATAACATATATGGCTTGTGAGCTGGGCGTGCGCCTCTTGCACCGCCCACCTCTACTGGGAACCAGGGAGGGATTAAGGACAAAACAAAGGCTATTGGACAGATTTGTAGGAGTGGTATTAGCATAATATTATTGCCACCAAGTGAACAAGCTGTTTTGTCTCATTGATTAAATAAACAATCCTTGTTCTGTTTTGACAGTTTAATTGGAAAAATGATGCATAGTATGAGATACTGGAGTGAAGAATGTACCATTTATGGCTGTGTGGTGGCTCAGGCTTGGTTATTGGGTGGCTCATGCCTGTAATCCTAGGTACGTTAGGGAAGGGCTGAGGTGGGGCATTTGAGCTCAGGAGTTCCAGACCAGCCTGGCCAACATAGTGGGAGACTTTCATCTTCTTAAACAAAAAAAAAAAGTACCATATGACCTGTACTCTGTCTTTAGCTTCCGTACAGTTCAGCCTCGCGTACATGTTGCCTCTGCTCTGTTATAGACTGCAGGAGATACTTGCAGGAGAAGGCTTATCTTTTGCGGTGGTTAATGTTGGTGTGTGTTACCACACCCAGTCCTGAAAAGCCTTTATCTCAGTGTGTAGCTCAGTGTGGGCACCACTGTGACCGACTTTAGGGTCTGTTCCCCCAAACCCCTGAGCTGTGGTGGGGGCAGGGACTGGGTCTACGTTGCTCCCCACCGCACCCACCCTGCAGGGCCTTGTGCCTCGCCCACAGGAGCCACTCACGGGACACTTACGGAGCACTGAAGCAAACCGGGCAGAAATTGAACCATCTCCAGCTGTGTGGTTCACTGTGTGAAACACAAAGTCAACAAGGCCTTTGACCTCCAGGCAGGAAATGTCAACGAGAAAGATGCAGCTTCCAGAAACACTTGGCAGGGACCCAAAAGCCTTTTAACCAGTGCCCCTGACACTGACTTCTGACACTTTGATTCTAATTTACTTTGGCAAGAGTGAGCAATTGGCTACAGGAATGTTAATTTCACTTTTCATCACTTTTCATGCACTGTTCCTATACCTACACATTACCAATAGGGGCGCTATCGGTGTTGGGGGCTGGACTCGAGCACTGCAGAACATTTGACATCCCTGACACCCCCTCCTTGTCTGTGACATCCTCCACTAGGATGAGGTGACTGAGCCACTCACCTCCAGCTCAGAATATTAGGGGATACCAAAAAGCTCAGTAATTAAGACAAAAAGTTAATGCAATATTATTTTAATTTATTTTATTTTTTATTTATTGATGTTTTTGAGACCGAGTTTTGCTCTGTCGCCTAGGCTGGAGTGAAGTGGCACGATCTTGGCTCACTGCAACCTCTGCCTCCTGAGTTCAAGCAATTCTCCTGTCTCAACCTCCCCAGTAGCTGGGATCACAGGCACGTGCCATCACATCTGGCTAATTTTCTTTCTTTTTTTGCTCCTGTTGCCCAGGCTGGAGTGCAGTGACGCGATCTTGGCTCACTGTAACCTCTGCCTCCTGGGTTCAAGTGATTCTCCTGTCTCAGCCTCCCTAATTTT